CACACTTTCTGATTTTGATATTTATGTGTTTTGTTACATTCCTAAAGATTTTCTAATCTGCTAGAAATTTAGAAATGACTATTTGAACGCTAATTTGAGCATAGTTTTCTATCTAGTCGTAACTACAGGGTCATTTTTGCGTTAAAAAATATGCTGACTTGTGGATTCATTTGTGCTTGATAATTCTCTCTTGCTCTTTAAGAAACTGTCACTAGTCAGGTTAAACACCACTGTGGATCCAGTGGGTTTCGGGGGAAGGCTGAACCTCCTATGGATATGCAGGGCATGTGTCATGGGGCAGTGAGCACACTGGTGGGAGGAGTATGTGAAAAGCATCTTTACTTCTACAGCAAAGACAGTTGTGCCTGGCTTTTGACAGATATCTAAATTCTCCTGGTGTTTACATGCCACAGCCTGTGCAGTTTCAAAGCTTCTAGTGGAGTGAAAAAAATATTACGATGTAATGAAGTTTAGCTAGCTGTGTGACCTTTATTGCTCTTAATGTTTGCTATACATTGTAGCCTATGAAGCTGTCAGATTAAAGAATACAAAGATACAGAGTCAAGGAGCTGAACTTAAATATACAGTGGATTAGGGACATGTTACCTTTTTTACCCAAGGTCTTTTGATAAGGGATTTAAAAAAAAATATCTGGGCCTGTATATAGGCTCGTGTAATTGGTTAAAAAAAGCTTGATGTTTATAATTATTATAAATCACACAGGGATACATTTCAAGGTAACATCTGCTTTCTTGGGAGTCTTAGTAAAAATAGATTAATTTCTCCTTTCTCTTCTTTTCTGGTTCTTTTATTTTTCCCCTAACTCTCTCTTAATGACAAAGCTTTACCTACTAATTGAAGATACTCTTACTGAGGGAGGTAGGAGATTTGAGGGTGTGTCTTTTAAAAATATTAAGCCAGGTAGTTATGTAAGATTTGATGTAGCAAGAATGAGCATTAGCATCTATAATAAACTTTCAAGAGACAGTTGAGAACCTCAGAAATCAAGCTGGTGATAGTTTCTCTCTATTTCTCCTGGCACAGAGCTGCCGCACGATACAGTTACTTGATTATTGGAGTAACAATCTGTCCAGGTGCTAGGAAGCTTGGCAGCCTCATAATCTTGAATGTGTTTTAGATGTAAGGAAGAAAGCATACTGAAAATTCCTGAAGCACTTGTATTCAGATAGGTCATCTGACCCATGTCAGGTATATATTCTAACCCAGTAATTTTAGCAGAGCATCTGACAGAAGTCCCACCTTCTCAAACTGTCTGTCTGGCCAGCAACTGATCAGCTTTCTGTTACAGGGGTCTGAGCCGGGACAGGGGGGTAGGGGTGAGGTGGGGTAGGGGAGCGTTGGGTAGGGGCTTCCCTTTGTAACCCATCTCCTAACACTCTCTCCTACCATTTTGTAGAGTTTAAGAGCTGTGAGTCACAATGGGGAGTTTGCCAGTTTTCTCCCTGCACGGGAATGGATGTACATTAATATTATCAAGTGTCTCATCAGTGAGGCCTTCAGCTGTGTTTTTCTGAAAAAGCTCCAAACCACCTGATTCATGTCTTCCCTAGAAAAGAAATTGTAATGCTCCCTGTCAGGTGACACCTGTTAGAAGCCTTACGAAGCATTTTCCCTGAATATGAAACCATCCTGGCCTCTCTTTGTATCTGCTGGGTGAAGCTTTAGGATATTCTGCTGCATCTGCCAAACTGCTCAACAATGCAGCCTCTTAGTCCCTGCATATGTGCCATGCTTTGACCCGTCACTGCCTGGCTCCACTTAGGTCTTGAAAAACTGCATAAACATCATCTAACCTCAAGCTTTTGTTTTTCAGGAACTTGTCAGGCCCAGAGGGCAACTGGACATAGTATGGGGATCCTCAGATGCAATTTAGAAGCTTCTATTTGGGAATCCTCAGTGTGAGTCAAGTTATCACCTGTCCTGAGGCTGCCTAGGGTGAAGGGGAGGTAACAGCAAGCAAGACCTGTTTGGTTTGTTGTGGATAAAAGGAAACATTTAGATAAAGTTTGTTTATTTGAGGTTGAACAGATTTGATGTTATTTTATGCTCCAGGAAAGCAAAGAGTATCTGAAGTCTAATTTTTTTTCCCCCTATGCTTTTCTGTTTTGTATTCTGCCATTCCAGCAGCCTCAGGGAGCGGACTAATCATTTCTATATGCTTGGGGTGAGGATCTATATGTAAGTGTGTATGTAGATGGTTATAGAACAAACGTATGTGATCAGGAAGGCATTTCCCTTTGGTTTTGGTGGGTGTAACTTTCTTTTCTTTCACTATGACAAACTTGATGCTCACTGCTTTTGAATTCTGAATGTGATTGAGTCAGAGGGTGATGATGTGACATTGTATGTATACATCCAGATCTGGTATAAAGACACATTTGCACATGTATGTACACAGGCATGTAGGAAACATATTAGAGATGACCTACTCAAGAAACCATGATGTGGAAAGTTCTTTCTTATAGTTATGTTAATGATTTGCAGTCAAAAGCTCTACCCCAGAGCTATACCCTCTATGTTAATGACTTGAATGCATTTGAAGTTCCATTGTTGCATGTACACTTTTCTCTGGATTTACCTAGCCCAATGCCTAAACTCCCTTACTCCCTCCAGACACATAATGAGGGGAAAGGCAAGGAAAGCAGGGACAGGGAGAAGGTGCCTTTATACCAGCCGGCATATACCTGTAGGGGCCTGACCTCCAGGCAGCCCAGAGCAACGCTGTGGCCTCTCATGCTCAGTGCACATCACTGGGTGTGAACTGGGCCTGGAAATACTTCTCAGATGCAACTTTTCCTTACTGACCACAACACTCCGTAGGGAGTGGGGCTCCCCACCTAGTAAAATCCTGCTGGGTTGCTTGGCTGAGTCTTCACTGTGAGCTGGGAATGAATGGGAAGAAGGGAGGAGGCAAGAGAGATTCAGAATGTGCTGGAATAAAGACAGGGCAGCACTGGGCCTCCCTCATCCTTTTTTGCCTCATATAGTCCATTTGCAATCAGTCAAAGTCACCTAATGAAATGGTCTTTCAAATAACAAACCAACCAGTCAGTAATATATCTTCACACAATAACCAACCTTGCTCCCCTTCAAGATACACACAGGGAAAACAACTGGAGGTTTAAACTAAAAGTTCACTCACTTACTCTTTCTCATTTTAAGGAACAAAATTCAGCCTCCATAAAAAATCCTGCCTTGTGTGAATGAGACTGAAAACCAAACGTTGGAGAGACTTGAAAGTAAGCCTCTGGGGTGGCAGCCACCCTGACTTCCTTTTTTCCCAGGCATCCCCCACACAGAGGTGCTCTTTGTTTGTGGGTGGAGGGTGATTATGGGTGCTGCCTTTGAGTGCCAGCTCTGTGGAGTGAGCTGAGGTTTTGTGGAAAGAATAGTGAGTTCTCCCTTTCTCTCTGTTCAGCTGTGATGTTCTGCAGTGTTTCCTTGGTTAGAAGTTTTGGGCTCAGGTAAACCACAGCAGGCATCGGTGGTGGCAAAGAACACATCTGGTATAGCTGCCCACCTCCCGTGTACCACCTCACAGGTAGGACAGGTACAGAAGAACAGGCCATCCTCTATTTACTTTTCCTCATTGTTAGGAAACATGACTTGGGGAAATGAAAATCTCCAGCTATTTTTTCTTCAATTTAGTTTGTCCTAGAGATGACCTACTCAAGAAACCATGATGTGGAAAGTTCTTTCCTACCCTTATGTTAATGATTTGCAGTCAAATGCTCTACCCCAGAGCTATAACCCCTATGTTAATGATCCCCAGTGGTTTTATTTTCTATTGACATCCAAGTAATCATCCAAGGTGTCCACAGAATCAGGGCCACTGAATGAATGAAGTGAAAATAGGCCATGGATGTTAAGCAAAATCAGGAAATAAAACTTTGGGGTGACTGGCTTGAAAGCAATGTAAAGAAGCTCTTAAGTATGGGGCTAGAGTGCACTCTGCAAGCTAGAAAGGGTCCCAGATGGGGGGCTGATGGAAGGAGAGACATAGAGGTTGCATGGGCATTCACCAAATGCTGGTCCTGAAACCACCAGACAGGACTCCGAAGTCTTCCTGGGATTGTGCTGAGTGTGCAAACGCCTCACAACCCAAACAGCATCAACAGTCAACCTAGTTCTCAGTAAGAATGATGTCTTCAGCCATCAAAGCCCTTTATGACCATGCTGCACTGGCAGCTGTGTGACAGAACCATGCTCTTACATCCTCATTAGGCGACAGTCCCACCAAACCCTTCTACTGGAGGGTAGTCACCTACCCTCCAGTCACCTACTCAGGCTTTCTTGGCAGGCATTTTGATGATGTGTGAGCTCTTAGTATCAAACTATGTCTAAGTGACAACCACAGCTAAACTGGCCCCCCGCCCCTTCATTTCATGAGAATGGGACATGCACTGGAGCAATATAGGTTCAGTTTATATAGTCTTGCTGTCCTAGAAGAGCACTAGTTTGGTTTGCAGTCATATATTCTACTTGCATGCTGGGGCAATACATATATATAAAAAAATCCAAAGTAACCCAACCCTGGTCACCTCCCCCTGCCTTCAAACCCATATCCACCCAATCTTGGTTTTACCACTCTCTTTCCCGAGTAACCCTATGGGTTTCAATTAGTACCCCAGTGAGATGGGCAAATAGTCTCTGCTGTGTGGCTTGTGGATGTTTGGAGGGCTCAAATCAGGACCCAAACAGACCCTCTCCATCAAGCCCTCCCTCCTAAAAGACTTCCCTAAAACATCCATCTTACAGGCAGGATCCTAGTATGTCCAAGGTAGGCTGAAGGTCACAACAGTGATCCTATTAGTTGACTTCTTATGCTTGAGAGGTAAAGCTCAGACTAAGGGTTGATGCCCCTTTTCAAATAGGTACTATAAATATATTAGAACTATCCCTGAAAAGATGCATTTGTATTTATATTTATATCTGATTTTATATATAGATATATATATATATAATTTTTCTTTCTCTGTGTTTGTGTACAGGTATATATTACTCTATAGGTATGGAAAGAGAGGTATAATACAGGAGCAGGCAGGCGTGTGTTCATGTGCATCTATTTATAATATGTATAGTTTATATGTATATATGTAGCCTCTGTCACTGTTTGCATTATTACAACAAATGTACCTCCGACCAGCGAGGAGTACCTGTCAGTGGTGAATGGAGAGAAGCCTCAAATGCACGGTTCTCTCTATGTCTTGCATGAAGCTGTTTCAGCAGGCCAGGGCAGAAGCAGCCCGTGAGATGAGTGGACCCAGTGTGAATCCATCCCTCCTCTAGTCGGCCAAGGAGGGACCCTCGAAATACCCAGGGCTGTATGCCAGCTGCCTCTTCTCAGGAGGTCAAGGAGCCAGGAACCCACAGTGGGGAGGTACCATCCATGCGATTGGTTCAAGATCCAGCTCTTCTGGTTAGATGGACACAGGGCACACAAGAATTCTGTCTTCTAGGAGGACGCTGACCACCAGGAACACAAAGTAGAGGCCAAACATGGTGAAGCCCAGCACTTTGTTCATCCGCCACTTGCAGAGGGCGATGGAGAGAATGACGAAGAGCAGCATGATGAAGAGGAGCACAATGGCGCAGAAGAGGCCATTGCTGCTGACCTTCACTGGCTGGAGCTTGTGGATGAGGGTATACAGGAGCCAGGGCAGAGGGAGCCTGTGAGGGGGAAAGAAAACGTAGAGGGCTGGGCACATGGGGAGCAGTCAGACATGTTGAAGAAGGCAGAGGACCCAAGGCTACTTTCTTGGCACCTGTCATCTGAGAAGGGAGTCTGATGAGGTTCACTGGGGCTGTGCCTAGTGGGACCAGGACATTGCAGAGGAAGTCAGATGGACTTGGAGGGCTTTCATCCTGACCAAGTTAGAGAGAACTAAAAACTAAAAAGGTTGGTGGATTATCATTGATTTTTATTTATGCTTTAGATATATGTTTTTTTTTAAAGATTTATTTATTTATGCATGCAAGTGCTAGGGTGTAGGCCAAAGGTACTGGATGGATGAGAGGATTCATCAGAGACAGAGTGGGGAACAGAACAGGCGGACTGACTGAAATACAATGCTGACAGGAGAAGTGGGCGAGTCAGGAGAGGTCTGCTGTGTCATGTGGCTGTGCCTCCCAAGCAGGCCAGGGTATCGAACTTGTGCTGCAGTGGCTGGCGATAGCTTGATAATGCTGTCTTTAAACCCTGAGCTATATGTATTAATTTTTTTCCCACATATTTTATTTTATTTATTTATTTTTTGTGTGTAGAAGAACTGGGGTGCAGGCCAGAGGTGTGTGTGTGGGGAGGTGGTGAGAGGATTCACCAGAGACAGGCAGATCTACTGAAATACACTGCTAAGGGGAGCAACAGGCGAGACAGGCAATGTCTGCTGTGCTATTATGTATGGGTTATCTCTCTGGTCAGGGATCGAACTTAGGCCACTGAGGTGATCGTGTTGAGCCTTAACCCCAACGCCACCAGGTAGGCCTGTAGGTATTAATCTTAAAAGCAAAATGAAAATGCTGGCAAGACTATGAAAGAATGTTTACATTCAATATGTTGCCAATGATTTCATAAATTGTTACCAACTTTTGGGAGAGACATTTTGGAAAAATATATATATAGATGGTCATCAAAACACTCATGATCTGTAATTCATTAATATTTCTCGGGGGAATTTATCCTAACACAATTAATTAGAAGAGAAAGATTTTCCTGTATAAATATTCATTCAAAGATACTAAATAGCAGAAAGTTGCAAAAAATATAAAATGATTCTATAAAAGGAAAATGGTCAAACAGAAAAGCAACAGAACAAAATATTTCTAAGTCATAAAGTATTAATTCTAAGAGCTATGAAGAAACTTAGAAAACTGGTTGATTTGCAAGTTTTTTAATAGATGCCTACTCTGTGCCAGGCAGTTATGATTATAAAATGGAAAAATTAAAGCCCTCCAAGAAAACAAAACTGAATGTTCACTGTTCACAAAGGAAACTTTGTGAAATACTTGGAAGAGAACATATAAAATTAAATTTTATTTTTGAGTAGTAGGATAAGGGATGATTTTTCTTTGAATTGTATTTAAGTTGTTATACTATATATACAATTTAAGAGCAATGAACAAATGCAGCTGCAATTCCTTATGATATTTTTTCAAAAACAGAACAAATAGGTCTAATAAAATACATGTAATTTTTTTTTCTAATTTGTAGTTTTCTCCTTTTACACTACAGAATATTTTTTTTTTTTGATTTTAAATTACTTTCTTTAATTCACATGCCACAAGGAAGAAAATAAATACTATCATAATGAGGGCTGTACTGTAAAACCCAACAGCATGCTCAGCTATGTGTGCTTGAAACAGCTTCAAGATATTGAGAACTGGATCCAGGGTACAGAGCTGGCGTTGCTGTAATGCATACACTACAGAATATTTTATTTCCCTTTTTTTAGTAAGAGCTTGACCAAGAAAAAGAGAGAAACAATGTTATATTAGGGATACCCTTTCTTTAAAACATATACCTTTTAAGGCATTCATTGATTCATTGAACCATCCTACAAATATTTGTCAAGCACTGCCATGCATCAGGCAATGTATTAAGTTTTGGGGAGTTCTTGCTCTCAGGGTGTTCACAGTCTAGCAGACTAATGTACTTGACATGACAAGAGTACAGTGAGCAGCTCACACCCCCAGGAATCAGAGAAACCCAGATCTGAGTTGCCAATGGAAGGATAAGATGGCGTTTTCCAGGCAGACAAGTAAGGAGAGGGGCCCTGCAAGGTAGGAGGTATTATAGGAGAGGACACCTTGGAATTCAAAGGTGGTTTACACAGTAGAAGCACAGAGTGAGGTTTTATGTAGAGACAGAGGTGCCGTTGAGAGCAAAGACTTTGTTCAAATCCCAGTCATCTCATTTGCCAGCTCTTTGAACCCTGTGCCCTTCAATTTCCTTATCTCAAAAATGGGAATGATAATACATGCTTCATAAGATCACTGTGGCTTAAGTGGCTAAAAATGTATGGTGCACATGGTAGACACCAAATGAAAATATATCAATATTATCATTTGCATTATGTAATGAAGAGATATAAGAGAAAATAATTTTCAAGATGTTCAGTAAGAAAGTGGATCCATTTTAGTGGGTTTCCAAAGTTCTAAATTCAAATGCCAAGAGCTCAGTTCTTTTGGGAACATAAGAATAACACCCCAAGTTTTATTTTCTCAGGGGGCTGTCATTCAGGATAATTTATCTGATGACTTTAACTTTTGACAAGTTAAATGAAACAGTGGAGATAACAGTATCCTACCCCAATATGATCCACTTCAGAGACTTTTCATTATAGAACTCCAATTTGCTTAACTATAAGAACTGATCTCTTTTGACTTTCAAAAAATCTAGTGTATCTTCACCAGTGTAGAAAACAAATAATCATGCCAAGCCAGCACTTTACAAAGAAGAGGTGGAATATTTTTGCTTGGCCTATGTTTGTTCCAAATTGCTTTCCAGTCCAAATATCACCTGAGGCTGGTTGGGAACTTTATTCAGAATAAGAATATGGTGAAAAAATAGAGTGAACATCTTACTTAGCATCTTAGTCATGCCTGAATACTGAATATTCATTAACTTGTAGCAATGCCATTATGTAAGTGAAATTCTCTTAAAAGTATTTCTGACAACATTCACTCTGTGTTGTTGTGTGTTTCCACCTGTCTAGGGATAACTTATTCTTCATCAAATTCTCTGAAAAGGAAAGATAGAGTTGATGAAACAAAATGGTATTCTCAGGCTTTTTGCTATTGGTGTTGGTTAGTTTGGGGTCAGAGGTCCTGGTGATATCTTCACAGCCTCTCAGAAGACAAAGACAGCAAGGCCTGAAACTCCATAGATCTTCCTCTACTCACCCTATGGTGATGTCAAAAATGTTGCTTCCAACAGAGCTGGACACAGCCATATCCCCAAGCCCCTTCCGGGCCACTATGACACTCGTGATGAGATCAGGGATAGAGGTTCCAGCAGCCAAGATGGTCAGACCCATGATTTCTTCACTAATGCCAATTGTTTCTCCAACCTGAAAGTGATGGGAGGGACAAACATAGGTGTGTTTGAAGTCAAGAAACTATCAAAATTGCAAATATTTCAATGCAACTACCATTTAATGAATTCCTTTCTGTGCTGTGCTGAGTGCTGAAATGACACAGAAATAAGCCACCATCATTACCATAGAGAAGGCTATAATTTAATCCTATTTAGATTCAAGAGATCAGAAATATTGACATGAGGATTAAACAGATAATCTCAAAAGGAGCTTGCGAAGGCTAGAGTGCAGTCTCTACATGGTGTTTATTAAGACTGGACAGAGAACGTGGATCAGAGTTATAAAAACCAATTGATCACTGGTTCATGGTCCAGTACCTGATGGATGGCACCAAATCCTAGCGCAGGTTTGCCCTTGGATTTATCATCAAAAGTTTTTTTTTTTTTTTTAAGATTTATTTATTTATGCATATGAGCACTGGGCTACAGGCCAGAGATGTGGGGTTGAGAGGATTCACCAGAGACAGAGTGGGGACCAAAACAGGCAGATCGACTGAAATACACTGCTGAGGGGAGCAGCAGGTGAGTCAGGAGAGGTCTGCTGTGCCCTGTGGGTAGCTCCCTGGCGGGGATAGATCTTGTGCTGCAGTGGCTGCCGATAGCTTCATAGCTTGCGTCTTAACCCCTTGCGCCACTAGGGAGGCCCCTATCATCAAAAGTTAAGGACTGATACCCAGTGACTCTATTTCCCTTAATATCTCCTACTGTCTGTATCCTACTAATAAACACTTTTAGATGTAGTTATTTCCACAGAAAACTTGATTTTGGGTGTTTGGTGATACAGAATTATAATTTGGCAAGGCAATTGTGGTGAAAGCAATAGGGAATTAGGGGATCTTGGTTTACCTTCTGGCTTCGGCATTCATGAGGTACTGATCAATTATATACTGTCTTTGATCCTTGCTTTCCTATATTTTTAAGTTATTCTTATTCTTAATTTTAATTTTGAGGTTGAATTTTTGTTGCTCCACATGTACACATATTCTACTCACCTGCCACCGAACCACCTGTGCCAATACTGTCTCCCTCCCCCTTTTCCCTCTGGTAGCCATCAAATTCTTTCATTGAATTCAGAATTTATTCCTACTGTTTTATGCCTGTGTATGTGTTTTGATTATTTATATTTCACAGATGAGTGAAACATCTGATATCTATCTTTTACTTTCTGACTTATTTCATTTAGCCTAATCAGTATGAGGCCTATCCATCTTGTCCGAAAAGCCACTATTTCATCTTTTTCATGGCCGTGTGGTATTCCATTGCATATATATTCCACAATTTCTTTATCCATTCATCTGTTGAAGGCCACTTAGGCTGATTCCTTGACTTGGCAATTGTGGACAGTTGATTTTCTATCTTTAAAGTGGGAATGATAAGCCTACTTACAATGTGGTTATGAAGACTAAATGATACTTTGTGGAAAAGCCCTTTGTACAATAGCACAATATAATTGAAAAATTAGGGGGCATGGTTATTAAACTTTATTTTGGTCTTTGCTTTTTGAGACTGTTGAATTATATTGTGGATAGTTGTTATAGCCCTAGAAAAAATCTCCATTCTCTTGAGAAATATATTTGCCTTCCTGAGATTTTAAAAAAGTTTCATGTATTTTCTGGAGTTGGTAAACTATAGTTCTAAAAACCTTTAAGATATTGTTTTCAATTTGGTTTTTAATAGCTTACCTGATGACATCTAGCACTTTTGGAAATCATTTAAAGGACCAAAGTAGCATGCAAAGGTAAAGATTTTTAGGGGCTAGAATATACTCACTTCTAGTTTTTTTATTTATAAGTAATAGCTTGATTCCCATTAGCTTAAAAGCATAGTTTGGAGTTATTTTTATTTTGATGGTCAGGCCAGCTCTGGAGCCTGAGCTGAACTAGCTCACCTGTCCTCAAGGATCACAGATTAATGCTTCCAATCAGAAATAAGCTCCAGGGATCAATGGAAGAAGAGGCAGTATATATGCACAATGGTCTACTACTCAGCTATAAAAAGGATGACAGCTTGGCATTTGCAACTACATAGGCGGAGCTTGAGTGGATCGTGCTAAACATAAATGGACCTTGAGGTGATGATACTAAGCAAAATAAGTGATGAAGTGCTTAGCTTCAGTTTAAGGAGAACTGACAAAATGTCATTTTGGCTAAATGAGACACAAGGTCATATTTGACTCTAACAATTAATTTCTCATTCTAGATGCAGAGTAGATTTTAGTCACAGGTTTTCATGAAAGTTTTAAGATGATCATTCATGATGCAAAAAATAACAAAAAATTATAAAAACTAAGGAAAAATGCCCAAAACATTTTAAGTAAAAAACATTTATTTTTGGCCAAATAGTAGCCAAATAATTGTATCAAATAGCATTTATTGTTGATAAAGTGGAATGAAATAGTTGTGCACTAAACAGTGTACTTGCTATCTTTATAGATTTTATAATTCAAAATTATAAAGACTTAGATTATAATAGACTTAGATTCAGACTTCAGAAAAGAGAACCTGCTCTTTTGTTTTTTGTCTTCAAATCTGCTACTTTGATCAGCTCTCTGTATGTTTTGAAAGAGAAAAGCATTGCTATAGGAGAACAGAAAAGAAAACGTCTCATCCATTATTGAAAATTATGGCTTCTCTTTATACACTTTATATTCCTGGGCCTTTTTGTAATTATTATTGTTTCAGGCACTGCATTCATATTCTCTTTCCACAAGACAATGAAAAGGAAATAAGATCGGGGAATTAAGATAACCAATAAAAAGGAAAGAATAAGATGGAAATCTGCAAGATGATATTTTCTAGGATGGCGAAGGAGAAATATTTAGAAATTAACATATCCCAGCAAGTGAATAAAAGCCACCACTTTTTTTTCCTCTATCAATACATGAAAGAATAAGAATGATTATTAGGAAAAGTCACTGTATGTTATAAATAGTAAACAGTCCTTTCAGCTTGCAGCTTTGGTAGCTGAAAAGCAGCCCATTTTCTGCAATGATTCCTGCCAGGTACAGGCAGCACATGTTTCTTAATGAATATAGAAAATACAGTTGGCCCTGAAGAACTTGGGGTTACGGCACTGACTCCCTGCGGGATGGGACCTGTTCACTTCAAACCCTTGTTATTTAGGGTCAACTGTAATGACTTTGAGGCAAACAGAACTTCTTCAGGGGGGCCAGTAATTTTTGGAAATTTCCAGGAAGAGTCATATGAAATCAAAGATGATAGGAGTGATATAAAATGCCTTGGAGAAATAATTCTGGGATGTTTCAGCCAACATTTCCAGTGGCTTTTGTTAGTGATATGTTCTCTCTCTCTCTCCCTCCGTGTGTGTGTGTGTGTGTGTGTGTGTGTGTGCACGTATCAATTTAAAACATTTAGGTATAATTAAAAATTTTAAAATTAAGGTTTAATTGACACACAGAATATTTTTCATTCAGTACACCCTTGAAAATGGTGTACAGTTCTGTGAGTTTTGCCAAATATATGCAGTCCTGTTTCACCATATCCACATCAACTATGCTATTTTCTGTCTTTTTGAATATCAGCATCTTAACGATTGTGAAGTGGTATCTTGTGTTTATTTTTAAATTATTAAGATACAACCCACATATCATAAAATTTACCCACTAAAAGTGTATAATTATACAAATATACAGATAATATATTATACAAACTAAAATTAATTTATAGAGCTGTGCAACCAGTTATAATTTTGTTTAAAACTTTTTCATCTTCCCAAGAAGAAACTTCATGTCCATTAGCAAATACTTTCCATTTCCCTCCAACCTCCCCAAACCAACCCAAAGTGACTATTAATCTATATTCGTCTCTATAGATCTGCCTGCTTTCATATAAATGGAATTTCATATAAATGGGATCATATGACATGTGATCTTTTGCAACTGGTTTTCACTTAGCCTAACATTTTAGAGATTCAGTCACATCATAGTGTGTATCAGTACTTCATTCCTTTCTATTGGGGAGTAATATTCCATCAACTGTTGACAGACATTTGGGCTGTTTCTACTTTTGAGCAATTATAAATAATGCTGGTTTGAACACCTGTGTACACATTTTTTGCATAGCTGTTTCATTTCCCCTGAGTATATATCTTGGAGTGGAACTGTTGGATCATATGGTAACTTTATGTTTAACATTCTGTGGAACCACCAGACTGTTTTTCCAAAGAGACTGTATTATTTTACATACTTACCAGTAATATACAAGGGTTCCAATTTCTACGCATCCTTCCTGATGCTTGTTATTATTAATCTTTTAAGTTACATTCATCCTAGTGAGTGTGAAGTGATATCTCATAATGGTTTTGATTTATATATCTCTAATGGTAATGAGGTTGAGTATCATTTCTTGTGCCTATTAGCCATTTGTATCATCCTGTTTGGTGACATAGCTATTCAAATCTTTTGCACATTTTGAATATTTAGATATCTATAGATGCTTCCTTCCTATCATTGAGCTTTGTACAGATATCTCAGATATAAGCACTTGATCAGAGTATGTGATTTGAAAATATTTTCTCCCAGTCTGTGGTTTACATTTTAATGGTGATTTTTGAAGAGCAGAGATTTTAATTTTAATGAAGTCTAATTAATCATTTTTTCCTTTTATGGGCCTTGGCATCTATACTGTAGAACTCTTTGCCTAACCCATGGTGAGGTAGGTTTTCATATATATATATATATATATATATATATTTTAAAGATTTTTATTTATTTATTTACACAAGAACTGGGGTACAGGTCAGATTCACGGGAGGGTGAGAGGATTCACCAGAGATAGAGCGGAGAATGGAACAGGCAGACTGAAATACACTGCTGAGAGGAGCAGTGGGCGAGACAGAAGAGGTCAGCCATGCCATGTGGGACCCTCGCCGGCTGGCGGGGATCGAACCGGTGCTGCAGAGGCTGTGGACAGCTTCACAGTGCTGCGCTCAACCGCCTGGGCCAACAGGGGAGGCCAAGATTTTCTATATTTTACTCTAGACATTTGATAGTTTTAGTGCTGGAATTTAGAACTATGATCCATTTTGTTAGTTTTTAAGTATGGCATGAGGTAAGACCCAAGTTTTTTAGCACATGCAAATCCAATTATTCCAGAAGTCTACCCACATATCTATTTCCTTATTTTCAAATTGCTATATTTTATTTATATTAAGAAGTATAATATATTTTTTTCTTTTCAAAGATTTATTTATTTATTTATACAAGCACTGGGTACAGTCAGAAGTGCAGGAGGGTGAGAGAATTCACCAGAGCCAGAGCGGGGAGCAGAACAGGCAGAAGGACCGAAGTACACTGCTGAGGGGAGCAGCGGGTGGCAGGAGAGGTCTGCGCGCCATGTGGGACCCTCGCCCGGCGGCGGCCAGGGATCGAACCGGCACTCAGAGGCTGAGGGCAGCCTCCCAACCCAGCGCTCAACCGCTGCACCACCAGGGAGGCCCAAGAAGTATAATATTTTAAAGACTATGTTAATCAAAGGGTATAAATGGGTGGGTTGGAATTTATGCAGTTTATAATAGAGATTAAAAAGATCAGTTTTAGAGTTGCAGAATCTGTTTTGCTATCTATTATCTATATGATCTTAGGCAATTTTCTTATTAACTCTAAGATGTAAACTGTGAATTATTATAGTACCTCTCATTGGATTTGCACCTGTTTACTGGGTCAAGATTATAAGGACAAAGTTATGTGAACTGCCTGGCATGCAAGACATGTTCAGTCAAAATGGATGCTGTAGTGGTGGGTGTGGTCACCTCCATTAAAAAAAAAAAGGGTTACAGCTATTGTCTTTGAAAATGTAAACACTCTTGCCTCTCACTCTTTTTTTCATGTCACAACAAACAATTTCTGAGTTTATTCTTGTGATGGTCATTAGGACTGGTATTGAGTTAAATGTGGTAAGAGTGAAATATTTTTATAAATTGAAGCTCATTGACGAGACCATTTTGTCTCTAGGTCCTTTTTTAAGAGCCAGTTTGAAAGGTTGGTGAGAGCATGCTTTGAGTGGCTGCCCAGGAGCAAGTCAGGGCCACAGAACCAGGCAAAACCTTCGCCTTTTGCCTAGCCTGGGTGGTTTCAAGCTGCAGATGGCAAGAAGCATTTAGGCTTGCCCTCCTCAACAGGGGAGTTTGGGGCGATGCTGATTTAATTTCTCTCTACAGGGAAAAGGCCAGGAGACAAGGGAAGTCAAGTGGAGTAAATTCCTGTTTGTCCTAGTGTATTTTGTTGACACAAACTACTGTGACAGTTTGAGAAAGCCACCGCATCACTTAACCACTTGGCAGGCAAGAGGAAAACCAGGCAGATGGTGTCATTATCAAAGTCTTACCTGATGTGCCCACCAGACCATCAAGTATGAGAACACTGCAATCCAGGTGATGGAGCCAAAGAATGAGATGGGAAAAAACTTCCTTGCTGACTGTAAGAGAACCAGGAAGAGGCGAGCGTGTCAGTGATATTAACTGAAGGTGGAGGCAATACCAAGGCAGCTACCCTCCCTTCCCCCACCTGTGCCTGCAGCCTTAGCCAATCATGAACAAAGCTGGGATTGTTGCAATCAAAAGATCCTACCCTCCCCTGATCATGTGGGTGCAGGAAAATTGGGAATATCAAATTGGTGAGAAGCAAATCATGGCAAATCCAATTCCCGAGATGGAAGCCTCTTAAACAGAATGTCAGATGACCTCTGCTTCTGTGGTCTTCAGTCTATCAACTCCCCCCAGACCTCCCTCCTTCTCCTGCTCCTTTTCCTTTCTTCTGCCCAAGTTCATCAGAATCAATTTCTATCTCTCCAAACCGTATATCCTAATAACCCATAATCCAGAAAACCTATGGGATTAATTAGATTTAACAAGAAGTAAGAAGCATCAATAGGCTTCAAAATAGATTGGCTCACTGTACAGTTTCATGAGCTATCAGGAAAAGGAACACAGGAGAAGCTGCTACCACAGTTTCTACAGATTTTTAATGATGGCCAGTCTGGGCATTTGAACCACATATGTAGACAGGAATGGACAAAAGCATGTAGCTCTCCATTGCAGCGGCAGAGTAGATGCTCTTGGGAATGTGTTCTCCTGTTCTGCACCCCTAAGTATATTATGTCCAATTCTGCTTCTAGCACTGAACTTCTGAGCTTTTTTGAAGTTTCCTTCAAACATCAGTCAAAATCAGATACTCAATATGCGGTGTTTCTTACTCTGCAGGGAAACCCAAGCTTGCAGGGCAGTGACATTCTGTTGATGACTTTTGTAGCAAAATCGGGGGTCCTTTAAAACCGCTCAGATAGCAGAATGCTCACAGAGCTCCTCTCACCTATTACTGCCAAATGCTTTGTTTCAAAACTTTCCACTTTGAGAAGCAATCTCATTTTTTGCTTTGATAACGCCATCCAATTTTGTCCAGAGAAATGAATCGCAGAGTCGACTTGAATGAAAGCTATCTCAGTTGTCTGAAGGGCTGACCTTGGGTAGTCACATAGAACACCTTTTTTCATGGCTTTTGAGCACTTCATTAAAAGGAAAAGATAAACTTGTAGATGGCAATCTTTTGAATATCTCTAATGATGAACACAGCCTCTATCGCTCGAAACCAGGCCTCTTTTCTTACTAATTCAAGTTTTCAATTTTTGTTTATACTATCATTCACATGGTTCTGTTAAATGTCACCATAACCATTTCTCTCTTTCGATGATTGTTGCTTTTCTGGAGCCATTCATTAGCTGAGGTGTCTGGAAGACATCTGGGCTTGATTAAATTGGAAGAGGCACCAGGCCACTGTTACTAGCAACAACTCTATTCTCAAATGCTTCCCCCCCAGCCCCTTCCCTTCCTTAGAAGGAAAATATTTTGGCCAAAAACTCAGACCATTTCTGGGGATATGGATACTTGAATGGGTTGTTAATTTTTCAAGGTAGAGATTATGATAATCACTTCTAAAAGAAAATTTCCCCTCCCTCTCTCTAATTGTTCCCTCCTTCCCTACCCTCCCTATGTTTTTCATTGTATTACTTTTATTTTGAAGCACTGGTTCACACCTCTTTAAATGTATGTTACCACACCACAGCCACTACCAAGGCACCCATAATCCTTCAGCATAGATAAATGGGCTCTCTCCCCAATTTCCTCCACATCCTGCCCTGCCGGTAGCCTCATATCTAGGGTTAGTGAGATTTCCACATTTGTTTTGATTTAGTTTTGTCTGTTCCTTTGTTTTGTTTCTTTATATTCCACATATAAGTGAAACCATGTGATATTTGTCTTTCTCATTTTGTCTTAGTTCCTTAGCATAACTGCCTTCAGTTCCATCCATGTTGTTGCAAATGGCCAGAATTCATCTTTTTTTTTAATAGCTGAGTAATATTCCATTGTGTGTATGTACCACATCTTTCTAATCCATGCATCTGGCATTAGGTACGTAGGTTGTTTCCCTAACTTGGCTATTGTAAATAGTGCTGCAATGAACACAGGAGTGCCTCTATTCTTTTGAGCTAGTGTTTTTGCATTCTTCAAGTAGATACCTGTGAGTGGAATTGCTGGATTACATGCATATCTATTTTTAACATTTTGAGAAACCTCCATTTTGTGAAAGTTGGGAATTCGGCTGTTTTTATTTAAATTTTTTTTTTATTTTTAAAATTTATTTATGCATGCAAGAACTGGGGTACAGGCCAGAGGTATGGAGGGTGAGAGGATTCACCAGAGACAGAGTGGGGAACAGAACAGGTGGATTGGCTGAAATACACTGCTGAGGGGAGCAGCGGGTGAGTCAGGAGAGGTCTGCTGCACCATGTGGGTCGCTTCCCTTGCCGGGGATCAAACTCTTGCTGCAGTGGCAGTGGATAGCTTCATAGGTTGCGTCTTAACCCATTGTGCCACCAGGGAGGCCCCCTCAGCTGGGTTTTGGAGACTAATTTCCTTGATCCTTGGAAAGCCGGTGCTAAGAAATCAAATTTCACCAGGCAAGGCAGATAGCTGATTGGAGTCCCCAGCCTTTTTCTCTGGTCACAAACCATTGTCTTAGGATCCTAAAATCTAAGGAGGTTTCTGCCTTTGATGGCTATACTCTATCACAGGGAAGACAAGGATCCCCCTTGTCAAATGGGGCCACATGTGATTTGAGCAGCAAGCAGCCTGTTAGCTTGATTCTGAATCTTCCTTGAGGGGAATGGAGCCCCATTTATGGTATGACATGTGTACTGGATAACCTGGGGGAGTTGTCATTTCATAGATTCCTCATTTTCCAGGTTAGCTCATTTACTAAATATGTCATTACTGTTTTATGCTTTATACCTTTGCATGTCTACTTATGAATATAAAATCAAGTCAGAATCAAATCATTTGAACAAATTTCTCTTCCAAAAAATATCATCATCGAACTATAGAATAGTCCTAGTCAAAAGTTAGAAAGTAAGGAAGCCAACTAAGGGTTTAAAGGAACTAGGTTCAAATTAACTTACTCATGAAAACCTCTTTAATTCAAAATTTTGATGCTCATGATTCCTAGTCAAGAAGTCAATTAGTGATTCATGAAAATCTAAATGTACCTAATAGTGTATTAAGGTCTTATTAAAGTAATGATGAAAAATGAATTCCTTCGTGATTTTTAGATTTTCAACACTAGGGGTAGTAGGGAAAGGCTGAACACCTCTTGTATACCCAGGTCTTGAACTAGAGATGAACTTCAGACCTAGCTCTGCCTGACTGTATAGCACGTGTTCCTAACATCTAGATCATACTGACTCTTCCCTAAGGAGAAACGGCAAATAAAATATAAATGACTGTGGACATAATAATGATGATTATCATAATACTAGGTTTTGCTCTGAATGTCAGAAAATGTACAGAGGATCAGGGAAGTGTAGACTGGCAGCCCAGCTGTAGGGCCATCTGCCTTACTTTATCTCCCATATTGTTTCTGCTTTGGAAAACTCAAACCTTCATGCACCAGCAGCTCCCTTAAGAGATTCCAACTGTCAAATTACCTTACCATTTTCAATCTCACAACCCAGGTAATTCCTTCTTCTTTCCTTTATTCTGGACTATTCCCCTAATTTGGATTCGATGGTCTCATTCCAGACATCACTGCTCAATAGCACATGTGCAGTTACTTAGTTACTAGTCACAGTGGAAGGAAGAAAATAGCCCCAGAAGCCAAGGTCTGACATGTCAATTTATGGGTAGTAATGGTGGCACCTCCTGACATCTGCTGGGATGGGCCTCATACTAATTAGCAAGAAGCAAATTGTGTCAATGTGTCGGCCATTTTGCTCACAATGTAATGGCTTACTTGTTTAATTGCCAGCTAATGTTCTCATTAGAAGTTTTCAGAACATCAAAATGATTTTTTCTTGGCCTGAAAAAAGTTCCCGGACATGAGCAGATTGTACAAATTGACCACATCCTTACTGATCTAAATTCAACCAATATTCACTTGCATCTACTCTGTGCAAGACTCTGAGGCATACATATTTAGCAGAAGTCCTTCAAACAATCCAATTGGTGAAATCCCTGTTCACCAATTACCAGTGATGTGTCCTGAAACAAACTGTTTAATCTTGCTAAGTCTCAGATTCTTTATTTGTAAAATGGAGAGAAAAACAACATCAAGTTGTTTTGAGGATTTCATGTACATAAAGCCTCTGGTCAAGTGCTAGATAATAATGGTAGTTGCTATTAGATAATTCTATTCACATTTTGCTTTTTTAGAGAGGACACTCAGCCTCAGGGAGGTGGAAATGACAATGGAGACATGGTCTAGATTCTGGATTTTGCCCTTTATTAGTTGGTGTGCTTGGACCAGTTACTAAACGTCTTTGGGTCTCAGTCACTTCATTCTGTGAGAATGGTGCTTGCACATAGACACAACACTTACTTGGTGAATAAATCAATCAATGTTATAAATTGCAAATGTAGCAAGTTTCTCAGGTATTTTCCTAGCTCTGATGGGTCATGTTGTGCTATCTCATTAGATGCATTCTTGTTTTGTAAAAACGCTCATTCTGGGCCACAGAGAATATAACTTTTTGGGTCTTTATTTCCTTTATTATTTTCAATTTTCATCAAAGAAATTCTCTTGAAGGTTTCTGTCTTAGCTCTTTAACTTCTAAAACAAGGCCATTAATTTAAGAAAACTATAAAAATGAAGCTCATGTTAATTATCTGAGTTGGAAGTATATATAAGTCAACAAATACTGTCATACAATTTGCATATAAATGAAGTGGATATAGCAAGTGGGAGTATTATTTACTCTGAAACTACACATATACATTTTTAAAAAGTGATGTTTTCCTTGCAATTATTGTCAAGGTTTCAGATGTTCATCTTCATGGGTATTCAAAAACAACCGAGAAGGCAGAGCTGCCAGGCCCCAAAGCAGAAGCAAATATTTATTATGTAATAATTTTCTTCTCTCTCTGTCCTCTCCTTGCATATTTTTCCAATGTGACAGTACCTGAGGACTGTGCTAGACTGCAGAAAGGGCCACAGCACTTTGCAATTCCTCCCATCAGAATTCTTCCCTACCCTGAGAAACTGGGCTGGCAGTATGACTTGGCTTTGACCAAGAGAATGCAGTGGAAATGTCATGGGCAGATTCCCAGCCAGATCTCCAGAGGGCTTTGTGGCTTTCATTTTTGCTGTTCTTGGAACTTGGCCATCATGTGAATAAGCTCCGGCTAGCCCACTTAAGGATAAGAGGCATGTGAAGCAGAGACAAGCTGTTCTAGCTCAGAAAGCCCGAAGTCAGCCAGCCCCCAGCCTTCTAAGTGAAGAACTGTCCAGCTGAGCCCAGCCCAAGGGCCAATTCATAGAACTATGGGCTAAAAAAAAAAAAAAATGGTGGTATTGTTCTAAGCCACTACATTTTGAGGTGGTGTATTCCACAGCAAAGAAACACCAGGTCAAACCTAAAGAAACTCTTCTGTGTTAATCACCATCAAAGAGCCACTTCCTGGCTTTTGTAGCAACTGCATATTTGTTTTCATTTGCCAATTCATATATGCAAAGCTGACTATATAATCCACCTTCCGAGCCAATGTGCTTTGAGAATAAACTGGGACTATCCTGGGCTGACTGGGATTTATGGTCACTTAAAATTTGCAATGTCTTCTTGATGCTTATTTTGTTATATTTTCTTTCATCACAGAATGTCCTGGGTGGCAGGGAATCTAGAGATCTTCCAGGCCTCTGTGTCACACAGAAGGGGTCAGCATCAGCCAGAGCAGTTGTCATGGTCCAGGAAACTATGCCCACAGCGGAGCCCTGTTTGTTGTCCAGGAGTTGCTGGTTGAGAACTTCCATCTTCTCTAACAGCTTCCTTGACCCGTCAGCACTGATCACAGAGAGGCTAAGCACTGTGCCAGCCCATCCGGTGAGTGCCACCCAAGCAGAGGGCACAGGAGTCACTGGCACGTCTTCCAACCCTTGCACATTTTCCTGATGGCCTCCGTGGTTGTGTGACACCTTGTCACTTGGTTCCCTCCAGCGTGGCCACAGACGTATGGGCTCAACAAAGGAACAATGGGGAGAGGGAGGGAGGGGGAAGCAAAGGGAGAGAGACAGAGGAGGAAAGGGGAGGTGGGTGCATTCAAGCACACGTATCTCAGAAATGTCAATGTGACGTGAGCCAAGAGGAAAACTGAACACATTCCAGCTATTTGGCTGAAGCTTCAGGAAGCCAGGTCTTTGTGGAGAGCAGATGCTCCACATTTGCATCTTGAATAAAGGAACCTAAATATTGCTCTACGTGAGCCACACCTGTTACATGCAGCCTTTACTAGGAAATGTCTCATGTCAGGAGTTTTGTTCTGAGAGGGTCGTTTCTTGGCTGGTACTTGATATGACATGGCTTGCCACCAAGCTAGATTGTTTATAGGTCAGCTAAAGGGGCAGAATTTTTCTTTTGTCTTTTTCAAGTGAGGAAAATGGGATCATTATGGGGCTCTTGAAGACTTCTGCTAAATTATGCAGGATCTTACCACAGTATTCTATTTCAAATGCTTTTAGAAAGGATGTTTTCAGATTTCTACCTGCTGGCACCAAAAAATACAAGGAGATGCCAAATCTATGCGGTCTTAGTCTTGGGTCTGAACTTAGTTCTAGCCCTTAGGAAGCGACCAGGCATGACTAAGTTAACTTCTTTGTGCCTCAGCTTCTTTTTCATTTATGCTGGTTACATACATACATACATATGTATCTATCCCATCTCTCTATACCCATCTCAGGAACATAAATATCCCTACATGAAATGGTTCCTGAGGTTTCACAATATAGCTTATTAAAAATACCTACGGAAGTGTGATACATATTAGGCACACTTTGTTGAATGAGGAGGTGTGTGTTGGGTTATAAAAAAGTAGAGTTCTTGCACCCTGGGCAGTGGCACAGGAATCCAGTTTATATTTTTGATATAATCTACATTCAGGTTATACTTTACTGATCATAAATAATATTGTGTTCCTAGCACCTAATGCATGACAATAGTAGATAATAATATTGATTATTAACAATAATAATACAGGAGGTATAAATGTAGACATTTATACTGTATGAACACAATTCTTTAAATTATTTTTTAATTGAATGAATAATCCAAATACTCAATTATTCAATAAAATGTGAGTCTTTCTCCTACCTCAGACCTTCGGTTCCCCTACTGAGAAAACCACTTGTGAAAATTTCGAACATGGTTGCAAATTCCTGAACATTCCTCCCACCAGGAGTGTCCCATGCTAAGTGACACTGATATATTTTAGGTCAAATTTTGCTTCCTCCCCTTAAGACAAACGTATGACTGCTTTTGCAGTGGAGGTGACTCCCTGTGACTTCGGAAACCAGTGTAGCTCTGTCCTGTGTCACTGAAGCCCTGGCCTCATATGTTAGACATCTGACTCTTCCCAGGCCACCATGCAGAGAGGATGCCCAGGTCACATTGGAGGTCACTTTTAGGCTCTCCAGTAGACAATCCCAGCTGAACCCAGCTTTGCACCATCTCCGCCCACGTACTGGAAACGTCAATGAAGGAGACCCCAGATGAGCTCTTCTCTCCCCTGTTTTCACCCCTCTCTCCCACTCCCCTGCTGGGTGCCTCAGATCTAGGGTCAGCTTGCAAGGTTTGTCTTTTTCCTGAACCTTAGTTCCATTTCCCTATATTCCACCTATAAAAGGGACTATGGTGATGGTCATGGGTGCTGTGGTGGTGGAAGAACTATGGGGAATACACCTGGGCGGGGCATAAAATATCATACAAAAATGAACAATGATGAAAGAAGTAAATCAATTATTTAAGAAGAATCCTTCAGATGATTGTGCCCCCAATCATTTCAGTGGCCTCCCATTCATGTCTCCCTAGCGGAGGTCCCAGACATTGGGAAGCAAAGCGTGGAACAATCAAATTCCTCATCCACAGGACATGTGAGCATGGCAAAATGCTTACTGTTTCACACTACTAAATTTTGGGGTGGTTTGTTACTCAATTTGGTAGCTAGAACAATCACTATTATTGCATATTGGGCCAGAGAAACTCCAGACCTATATAAGCATACATATGTGTATGTGCTGCTCTTTTCTTTTTAAGACAAATAGAAAACAAACTGTATTCAGGTATAGAAAGTGACCCCTTGAACAAAGCGGGGGTTGGGACATTGACCTACCCATTCTGTACACAGACAAAAATCCATGTATAACTTTCGCTTTTCCCAAATTTAACTAAAAATAGTCTGTTGTTGACCTCACTGATTACATAAGCAGTCAATTTACAATATTTTCCATGCTTTATGTATTATATGCTGTACTGTTACAATAACATAAGCTAGAGGGGAGAAAATGTTATTAAGAATAGTACTGCGTTTATCGAGGCCTTAAGTTCCTGTCAACTGTTTACAAGCAAATCTGCACAGACGTGGACCCACTCAGTACAAACTCATGTTCGTTAAAGGTCAACTGTACTGTGCTTTTTATAAGGAACCAGTTGCAAAAATGTTTCACTCACAGGTTTGCGGACATCGGGTAAGGTCATCCAGAGAGGAAACACTATGGGGAGGACAATCAGGAATGTGACTTGCTTGCGGGTGTTGGAAGGCCAGGCCAGGCTCAGAGGTTGGTCCTCCTCCTCTTCCCCAGCCTCTGTGGTCTGTTGTAGAAAGAGGGAGAGAGAAAGTAAACAAACAAGGAAGCAGAGCATGTCCACAGGCCACAGAGCCAGGGAGGGGAGCTCCAGGCCTCAGCAGGAGTGTTCTCGGGTCCTGCTGCATGGATTTTTTTTACATCCTTCAGGTATGTTATTTTTTTTTTTTAGGTTTGTCAGAGAACCCCATCTGTCACAGTCTGAACCCCAGAAACAGCTGGGCAACAATATTACCTGGCTATGGGAATTGAATAACTTTTTTTTCCTTCTCTGAACACTGCAGTTTCTCACTTAAGCAAACTATCATTCATGTAGCGGGAACTACAGCAGTGATCCATGAACTTTTTATGAGAAACCACCCATGTCTGCCGAGCAAAAGATGCTAGCGCTCACCTTCTCTTCTTCCTTCCTTCCCCTTGAGAATAAAACTACAGGAACCAGAACTGTCAGGAGGGATTTTTAATTAAAAAAAAATTTAACATTACTGATTTTTACTGGGCAAATAAAGTAACCACAGGAACAATTCAGTAACTATACTCAAGTCCTTTCCACTGGCCCTGGCCTGGAAGAGTGATGTCCATGGATTATTGTGTGGTTGTGAGTTTTTACTTCTATTTTCTTTTTTAATTTAATTTAATTTTTTAAAAGATTTATTTATTTATTTATTTATTTATTTATTTATTTATTTATTTATTTATTTATTTATATATATAAGTACTGGGTACAGTCAGAAGTGCGGGAGGGTGAGAGAATTCACCAGAGCCAGACCGGGGAGCAGAACAAGCAGAAGGACCGAAGTACACTGCTGAGGGAAGCAGCGGGCCGCAGGAGAGGTCTGCGCGCCATGTGGGACCCTCAACGGCGGCCGGGGATCGAACTGGCGCTGCAGAGGCTGTGGGCAGCTTCGCAGCCCAGCGCTCAACTGCTGCGCCATGAGGGGAGGCCCTAAATTTTATTTTTATATATTTTTTAATTTTATACATTTTTTACATCATTTTTCATTTTTGCACAATGTATGCATTTTCATCTTGGTTTAATAGTCCCCATACAATTCCCACCCCCCTTGTTTAGATTCTACTCCCTCCTCCCTGCCCTGTAGTGTGTCTCTGGTTTATAGTTGCTTGTTGATTTTGATTTTTTTACTTTATTATAATTAGGTTTTTTCCTGGTCTTTTATTTAGGTTTCCTAAATTCCTGCTATGAGTGAGACCATCTGGTATTTTTTTTTTTCTTTCTGGCTTATTTCGCTGAGCATGATCCGTTCCAGCTCCATCCATGTTTCTGTAAATTGCATGAGTTTATCTTTTTTGATTGATGAGTAATATTCCATTTAGTATATGTACCACATCTTCTTGATCCAGTCATCTATTTTTGGGCATTTGGGTTGTTTCCACAGCTTAGCTATTGTAAATAGTGCTGCTATAAACATAGGGGTGCCGGTGCCCTTTTGAATTAATGTTTCTGTGTCGTTTTTAAATAAGCTTAATCAACTGGTCAAATGCTAAGCCATTTTACTTCCAGCCAAATGCTTATTCTGCACACATATGCCCTATTCTCAGGGAGACAAGGGACAGAAGTAGAGCAGGACACTGAACCCCAGGTGCCAATGGCACAGGGCAGCAGAGCCAGGGGGACACTTCTGAGTTTCTGACCTGACAGCAATAGGCCAGCGCTTTATTCACTACCCACCAAAGGCAGCAGCTTCTGAAGTCCCAGAGCAAGAAGAGACAAAAGGCAGATCTGGGCCTGGCAGGATGACCATTAGCCTGTCAGATGGGCCCTCCAAGCCTCCAAAGCAGCACTGCAGACGGCATCAATCACTCCCTTCCCTGCTTGTTTAAAAACGAAAGTGCAGCAGCAGGACCAGACATCAGATCTAAAAATATGAACAGGAACTTTTCCACAGAAGCTTCCTTTTGAGACCACATAAATAACCTGCACAAGCTTCATAAAGCTCCTTCCCCCCGTAGTAGCTGTGGCTTCCAGCAGTGTGCACTCTTTCAGGCAGCGGCCCTAACTCCCTCCCGCACCCCACTTCTAAGGAGGTACCAGTGGGCAGGCCCGGGTCAGGAGGTGTGGGGCAAAGGACTCGATTAGAGGCAGAACTGGGGGTGAGGCCCACCTCACAGCAGTGCTATGCTTATTTATCATTTAAACCCTAATACTGCCAACGGGATGTGTAGTGGTTTACACAAACACCCACATATTCCCTCCAGGAGTTAAAATTAAAAATCATTATTAAGAAATAATAATAACAAAAATAAAGGAATCTTAAGCCATACTGAAAAAGGTTGGTAAATAGCAGATTCTTTCTCTTTGGATATATGTTCTTGGCAGTGAATAAGAGAGTTTATAAACAGAAAATATGAGGGAATTAAGAGGATTAGGTAATAAGGCTGAATTAGGAAGTTGGTGCAGTTTATTTTGGTCGTCTGGATCCTCATTAAATACACTTCTCACGCCCTCCGTCTCTGTGCTGTGCAGTATGTTGGAAAGAAGATCTAAAATCAATAATCTACATTTCTACCTTAGGAAACTAGAAAAAGAAGAGCAAATTAAATTTCAAGTAAGCAGAGGAAAAGAAATAATAAAAATTAGAGCAGAAAATCAATGGAATTGAAAACAGGAATTTAATACAAAAAGTCAACAAAACCAGCAGCCGTTTCCTCAGTGCACACGGGCTTGTCCACTGCTTTCTTCACTTCATCCCACCGGTTCCCACCCTGATGAAAGCCAGGTCCTCTTCCAAGCCACCCCCACTTCCTCCCGGGAGACACAGCAATGCAGTGAGTACTCTTCTTGAGGGTCCACTGGCTCCCTGAAGATCTGTATAATGGGCTTAGTGAGGACTTAGGAGACAGAGGCATCAAAACTGTTCCCTCCCAGACATAATCCTTCTTGTTTAACCCAAATAAAGGACTTTCTCCTCCCTACCTGGTAGAAGCCTCAAAAATAGGAGGCTCATGGGAGACTTAAGCATTGGAAGCTGTTCAATATAGCTGATTGTTTGCATTCTTCCTAATGAGTACCCTGTCCTTAGCAGCTAGGTGGCTTTATTCAGCCAGAGGATTCCAGCACTTTCCTGAAGCTCCATAAAGCTGATGCGATGAGTTTGTCCAGGCTCCTCCCACCTACAGGCTCAACACGCTTTCCCAGTCTTGTTCCCCCCTGCCATCTGCAAACTAACAACTTCTTTCTAAACTCCAAGCTAACCTTTTTCTGAGAAAAAACAAAAGCAACTCTTTATGACTCATATCATTTTAATGACACCAACAGATGGTGACATTTCATCAATAACCCTTCTGCTTATAACCTACGGATTAGCTCCTTTCTCCATCTGCCAAAGTCACCAGGCAGGCAGTGCCACTAGCAAACAGCAGAAAATAATTGTCTGTTTAGATGTATAAGCTCTAAACACACTACTGTCCAATGCAAACAATTAGCTATATTGTACTGGTTCCAAAAGCTGCTTTTGAGGTGACTGTTGCTAGGAGAAGAGACTGTCTCCGGTGGTGAAACTGCTCTCCACGGGGACTCAATGGCATCTTGGGGGCCAAGTCTTGCTACAGATGTACAGGTGCCCACAGCCCTGGGATGCATTCAAGTGGTCCGGACTGGGAGCAAGACTCCCAGCATATTTTAGGGGAAATTCTCTTTGTCTTCTCGCCAAGTGCAATCTCATTCTGATTCAATGGGAGACAGCTTGCAAGCTGGTCAGAAAAGTGGGAAAAAAATACTCTTCCAAGTCTGGGGCCCATTTTGTCTTTGCCTGAGCTGGCACTGCTGGCATGGTCATTAGTCTCAGCCCTGGGGGAGAGGCGCTGAGGTTGGGCAATGATTTTCCAACTTGTCCTGGAGTAGTGGTGTCCCGGCAATGACCTTAAAACAGACCCACCTTAGCTCCTAAAACTTCTGCAGGATGTCTGTGGAAAAACAAAACAATACCAAATGATCTAGAAAAAATTCAAAGTCATCTTTGACATAAGGGTTTAAAATAGTTTGATACCTGCTGGGTCTCTGCAGAAGCCCTGGAATTGTGCAAATCCAGGGCCAGCTATGCTTTATAGTCTCTGCTATAAAAAAATCTGAGACTAAAACAAAACAGTGTGTTGGTGTCAGACCTTGAAGGCCCAGGAGCAGCATGGTGGGCGGAAGAGACAGTGCAGAATCAGGAATCCTCACCTCCAGCTTCTGCTCCAGCTGTGAGTCAAATGATCACGTTCTGGCCAATGGGACGTAATCAGAAGCATCAGGATGTATCTTTAAAGGATATAGGCTGGAATGGGGACATTTGGACCAGAGTCTGAATAATCAAATTGGACCTATAGGTGGAAAAACAGTATAAAAAGACCTAAGCTCTTGACTCCCACCCACAGCCATTCTAGCCCTGGACCACCTGCACTGACTTGAGAGAGATAAAATTCTATCTTACTCAAATAAGTGACTGTTATTTTGGATTTTTGGTTGCCCATAGTGAAACCTTATTCTGACTGATCCAGTGTCCTCTTTATGAGGAATCAAGAGAGAATATCTTTTCTCATGATTCTTCTGAGAAACTGAAAGATCTTAGAAATGCCATGAATAAGATAAATGATACATTTTTTTCCTCCTTTGCTCTGCACTGGAGAGTTTAGAGCCAAATGTCTAACCCCAATCCAGCAATCACACCAGTGCAATTTGTGCTCATTTTCCAGCATTACTCCTTTTCTCTCCTTTCCACACTTTGCTGATTTTCTCAAAACCATTCATTTTATCCTCTACCATCAGGTTATTTTTGCAAGTAGCCTCGGGTCTTTGTGAAATAAGATGGGGCAGACCTAAACAGGAAAATACCTCACTGGTTTTAACAGAATTATTTTGGGGATAACAGAGGAGCATGGAGGTAGTGAGAGTGAGAAGAGATGTTATTCTAAGTGACAACTTGTGATAAATGAACAACCACCTTCTAGGATTCATTTACTAACACTGAAGTTTGAAATCTTGAGGTTTGGCCATCAGAACAGTTA